GTTTCCCTTTCTGGTCCTGTTGAAGGTCTCTATAGAGGGACGGTTTAGGAGACGCCCCCCCTCTCGGTCTTTGGTTCACGATTCTCACAGATAAAGGGGGTAGATAGATTTAGATATGTGTGTATGGCGTGCAATATATTTATGCTATAATAGTATAATAGTATATATATTATTATATATATATATATTATTATATATATATATATATATACATAGTGTTGTGTGTATATATATAATATATATATGTTGTGTGTGTGTGTGTGTGTGTGTGCTGTGTTGTGTGTGTGTGTGTGTGTGTCGTGTGTTGTGGGTCGTGTGTGTGTGGTGTGCGTGTGTATGATGTACGTTTGTATGTATATAATGTAACCCACCATTGTATATTAATACCAAATACCACATATGTGTGTATATAATATATATACATTATATATATATGTATATCATATATATTAAGTTTATATATATAGAGAGACGAGACGTGCTGGGAGAGAGCTCTTTCATTTTAGAATATACATGTTTATCAGCCGCCTCCTAATACTTGCGAACAAAATCGGACCCGGCGACAGTTTGAAATCTTTTAAAATGGTAATCATTTTCAAATTTAGACCAGCCACTGAAGAGGATCTCGGTCTTTTTCCTCGTTATTGTAACTTTAGTCCTTGTGAAAGTTGGGGGAAGGAAGGGCGTGGGAGCCTGTGCTATAATCCTTTTCTTTTATCAATTTTGCTTTTTTTTTTAACAGTCGCTCTTTGTACAAAAATTAAATCCCGTTAATCATATAATTATGCTCCAAGGCCAAATTCGAAATAAACAATTAAAAGAATCACCCGCTTATTATGCTCTTCCAAAACCCGATCAGATCCATTAGTCTATCCCCATTTGAACTTCTTTGAGTTTGTCCACTCATATGCCCTCTCTTTTGAAAATTTACTCCATATTTTAGGATTACATATCTCCACCTTTTACTTTTTTTACTCAAATAAGACCAAGAATCTCAATATCTTTCAATGAAAACTAATTAATTACGCGAAAGATTCCCACACTTCTAAGAGGTCCACACACCCCTCTGGAATGTGACTAATTCGCGCACAATGAGGTATATGCGCAGCGCGCATTACGGCAAACGCCGCAAGCCCCCAAGCCCGGCATGCGCACGCAGCACAACAAAGCGAGTAGAATAAGGGCTCTGACCACAAAGCTGCTCCATGACAAAAGACATTAAATCATGCAGAATAACTGTGCTGTATTAACGGTCGTGGACAATGATAACGCAAGGAAAGAGACAATATTCCATGTCACATGCGCAATTAAGTCAACAACATCGAACTTTTACCTCGCACGCTCCGGGTAGTGTGGGAGAAGATGGCGATTGGCAGATGCCCAGTCCGGGTAGGCAATGTAGAACTCATGTAGTTATAAGTCGCGCCACGGACAATCGGAGCTCACGGCATGACAAGCACCGAGAAAAACAGATAATTGACGAAAAGCCGCGCGGTGAGTGACCACCGGATAACAGACTTAGCTATATTAAGTCACGACCAGACCCCTCCCCCCGCAAGCTGGATATCCAAACGTCATAACCCTCCAACGACACCGCACCGGCGGATGATATACACATAATGACAAACATACGACCGAAATGCGTTCCAACAAGTCAACCATCAAGAGGACAAAACAGCTCCCCAGTTCAATCGCCAGGCTCTTATATACGATCCCAGAGAATAGCGAAAAAACGAGGAAAACTCACAACAATGCAGTGAAAGCCATTAAAAAAGAACCAGCAAAGTAGAAACAAAACCCAAACAAAAGTAGCTGACAAATAATAGTACGACCCACTAGAGATAGCACATATGAACCACCCACTCGAAGAGATAGCTACAGCCTCCAAAGCGCGCGCCCCGGCAAACTCGAGGTCATATGAGTCCGGTTATCGACAAAATATCATTAGACACACAGCAAACCCAAGAAAAAAAAGAACACTGGAAGACAAACTTGAGAAAATTATAAAACAGACATATACCAACTGATAGATGCGCTACCTCCGCTTGACACCTGCAGGCTTCATAACTCTAGAAACCCAAGCCACCAGAAACCAACGTGCTAACCACATACATGAAAACATGATCAGAAACCGCGGCGCACCGCGCCCACAACAGAAATAGTTGTGTGACGAACTGAAATGGACGTTGAAGGTGTGGCAATATGCCGCAATTAGCGTGGTGCGGATACATGAAAGTAACCAAGCAAACCTGCGGAGGTCAGAAATTTTATAATGCCAGAAACACACAATGTCGTGAAATTTTTCTTGGGCTGAAAAAACGGCCTGTCTCCGCGTATACGGAAACCCTACATCGTCCATCCTCCATTCTCTCACGACACCAAATAGCAATAAGCAGTCTACCAAAAAAGCCGCCCCGTCCCGCCT